CCGAAGAAGTGAGGTTTTTACTCACGAAAGCTTATGCCCAAATAAATCTGTTAGTCTTTAAGGTGCCACCAGACTCCTTGTTGTTCCCCCACCAGGGGGCGCTGCGCTAGGCGGTTCCCCACGAGATGCTGGGCTCTGCTGGCCCCCTGCGCAGCTCTCGGTCCGACTTCATGCGCATGCGCAAGGCTATACTCGCTTGCCCCCCCCCGTGCTGTGCCTGCGTATTATCCAATTTTCACGCAACGTTTATGCATGCATTTACTCGCGCCTGCGCACTCGCTCATATTTGTGCGCGCGCTTCCCATCTCCTTCTACCTACCGTCCGAGGTCACGTACGAGTAATCGAGCGCCGAGTCCTCGATGGGACCGGCCCCTCCCCCGCCATTTTACACTCGCGAGTAAGCGGCGCGGCAGGTACCGGCCCGGGTGAGCCCGGCCGCCCTGAACGGGGGAGGCGGGGGCTTGGGCCAGGCCGGGGAGCCAGGGCTGGAGCCTGCCGGCGGAGGGAGCAGGGCGTGACGCTGCTGTCTCCCTTGCCGGCCCCGAGCCGAGCCGAGCTGGGCCGGGGGGAAGGCGCCATGGAGCCCGGCGGCGGGCGGAAGGAGAAACCCAAACCCAAGGAGCCCATCAGCCGCGTGGAGAAGGCCAAGCAGAAATCCGCCCAGCAGGAGCTGAAGCAGAGGCAGAGAGCGGAGGTGAGAGCGAGGGAGGCTCCCTCGGCTCGGCCCGGCTGGGGCCCGGGGCCCTTTCCCGGCTGTCGGGGTGTGTGCACAGACAATCTGCCTGGCCATAGCCGTTCCCCGTCCCTCCTTCTCTTTCCGGTTGGCGTGGGCGCCTGGTCCCCTGTGAGGCTGAAATGCAGCTTGAGACACCGAAGTCTGACACCCCAGCGACGGGCTCGATAAAAGAATGGGACTAACCCATCTCTGAGGCATTCTCAGTCCCCTAAAACTCTGCGCCCTCCCGGGACCTCAAACGTTTTCTGCCTGTCTTTGTAGGTGGCCAGTGGGCTAGTCAGTGAGAGGGAGATGGTGTGAATTTCTCAATGAAACACCCACTGCAAGAATGTAAACCGTGTTTCTACCTTTTCCTGTGACTGCAGCCCTTGTCTCTTGCTTTTTCAGCTGTGCTGTTGCCTTGTTAATCTTCCCTTGCTGCAAAATGTGGCCAGCCATATAACTACAGCTGCACAAGTGTGAAGTGCCCCCTTCCTCCACTCCATTGTAGACCCAGTACTAAACACTAGTTCAGCTCCACTGCAGCTAGTGATGCTGAGAGCCCTATGGGTAGATGGTTACCAGTGAGCAGAATACTGTGGACTTGGCTACATACAAAAATTACACTAGTTTAACTAAACTTCCTTTGTAAACTGGGGCAACCCCTGCCTGGACATACTTACGTTGGCTTAAAATCCCACATTACAGCTCTTAGGGTATGTCTACACTTGCAGAGTAGTGATAGGGAACCGGTGAAAGAAAAGCGCTGGTTTGGGTACTCAGTTCCTCAGGCAAGAAAAGTCAGAGAGTGTTTACATTAGCAGCACTTCCGTGGATGAGAGCAGTGCTCTAGGGCAGCCATCCCACAGTGCAGCTCTCTCCAGTTTGAGGATTGGTCTTGTGGGAAGTGGGGGGTGATTGTGAGGCATCCTGGGTCCCTGCACAACCTCCTCTCCCCAAACACTGATAAGCTCCAGTAGTCAGCATTGCTCCAAGCAAGGGATTGCTTGCTCCATGGAGCAGCCATTGTCACCTGGACAGATGATATGTGAGCACTTACCAAGAAAACAGGAAGGGGAGTTTCAAAGTTCCCAGGGCTTTACAGGGGGAAGGGTGGATGTCTGTTTACCTGGCAACAGAGCAGCAGAGCTGCTGGCCAGAGTGGTCACCTAGGCACTGTGGGATATCCTCAGGAGGCTAAAAGCTGTGTAAACAGGAAGAACGTGTCTTCACTTGCGCATCACCGGTGAGAGCTGTATGCCTCTCGTGGAGGTGGTTTCTTTTTGCGGTGAAACTTTTGAGTTTCACTGCAAAAAGTTATGGCAAGTATAGATGCTCCCACGGTTTTTGTGGAAAAAAGGGACTTTTTCCGCTTTAAATGGCAAGTGTAGGCATGCCCTTTTCACACCACGTAATGCACATCCGGAAGGGGCTTGATACTGTGCTGATAAAGGCAGTATAAGAACTTGACTAGAATTAAAGTAGTTCTATCTGCTTTGCATGTCCATGTACATTCACTGACACAAGCTAAATTGATGTAATCCAGATTTAAGAGTAACTAACCCCACAGGGGGTTTTGCACTAGTCTAATCAGTTTAAAATCACATTGCTAGTTAAGGTGCAGCTGTGTGTGTAGACCACACACCTGTGGTGTGTAAACCTCTTTAGAGCAAGTCTGACTCACACAGCATTGAGAACACTGGCAGTTGGAGAGGCATCTACAGAAGAGTTTCAGCATTGCTTACACTGGTATTGGCAACAGCTGGCAAATGGTAGCCATGTCCCTTGTGCAGACAGGGCCAGAGAAGTACGAATAGCAAAACCTAATTGGGACCATTTAAATTCTAACATGCTAAGGAATAGTCCTTTGCTTCTCTTTTCTGTACTGACAAACAGAAACTGTAGAAACAACGTAAAGTGCCATTAATGTTGCCCACTTAAAACAATTGGGAAATCTAAAAGTTAGAGTTCTCATAATACCTTGCCTCATGTCTAAAATTTCAGTTAGGTTATTAGCCAGTACAGTGTTTGCAGTGCAGGTCAACTAGTTACTATGAGCAGGGCGGATGAGAGCGGGGGTGGGGAGGGGGAGCTGGTACAAATTACCGGGGTCCGGAAAGGGGCCCGGCTTCTTCCTCTTCTCCTCCCC